AGCTGAGTGTGAAGCCAGATACAGTTGGTTTTCACATGCTGAGCAATGTCCAGGGCGCTCACCGCTCAGATGTGGGAGCAAGACATAGCAGGAGCAAGGGTAAAGGCTGGCAGCTGGCGATGCACACTGATTGGAGGAGGCGGCTGCAACCGCGGACCCCATGAGCTGGCAGAGCAAGAGAAAGGATCAACCCAGCCTAGAAAATGAAGAACAAAAGTAATAAAGAATGCCCTGCCGTCTGAGAAACAGCTACAACATCACCCAACACACAACGCCTAAGCAAAACCCAGGAACATTCAACTGATGAGAATAACTAAGCATAACTAATTAAGTATTTGTAATGAAATGTGCATCTTCAAGTCAGGAGTAAGAAATTGGGGATGAGCCATTTAGAGGTTTTAGACACACACACACACAAAATGTTAAATTTAAAATCCTAATCAAGGGAAGTGGCAGAAAAAACTTTTACATAAAGGGGCACTGTACTCAAGACACATGGGAAGATGAGGCAGGAAGAGCAGGGTTCGAGTCAGCCTGGGCTACAGCATGAGACACCACGACAAAGAAGGGGCGGTGGGAGAGGGAACAAGGATTCAGCAGCAGAAGACAGCAAAGCTAAGAGCATCAGAAGAGATCCAGAATTACCAACTCAGCCCACAGGAGGCCTGTGAAAAGGGAGAAACGGTGGGGTGCTGGCAGCTGAGGCCAGAAGCGACCTTGGAAGACCAAGGAAAAGCATGAGGCTCTTCAAGGAGTCCAGAGCGACTGTTACAGAAAACGAGAACCATGCCCTACATGCTCAAGAAGCAGTCAGAGCCAGGTCGGCTTTTGCATTTCAGATGAGGAGTTTCTGACACAGTTACTAACGTGAATACAAAGGCTGCATAAGAAGTCCCAAGGGGAGACTGTTCTGTAACTTCAAAGGAGCTAGACACAATGACACCTGCAGTGGTGTGTCCCCAGAACCTAGGGTATCATTTCTGAACACCATCCCCACCAAAGAGAACCTGAACTGCTAGAGCAATGTCTGCAATTTGATGTCTTCCAGCAAGTAAGGAAAAGCTGAAAACAGACTGGAGCCAGACTGAAGACACCTTCTAAGACATGGACCATATGATGCACAGAGATCATAAAGTGTCGAACTTTAAAAAGAAGTCCTTATAAATCATAAGAATCGGGGGCAGAGAAAAGTGGAAGCTGTTATAGAGGAAAACCAACCACAGAGTCGGAGGGAGAACCGCTCACACTATAGCAAGCATGAGTATGGCAATGGGAAGGATTATACAAAATAGTGGTCTAAAACTCTTTAAAAATGTCCATATCATGAAGCACCCCCCAACCAAGAAAAAAAAGTGGATTAAAGACTAGAGAGCTAAGATAACCACATGTATTGTAGTATTTATGACTTGAATTGGAAAAAAAACCTGTAAGTCACATTATTGGAATAAGCAAGACAATGTAAATGTGGATATTTCAAACAGTACAGTAGATAACAATGTTACATTTCCTGGGTGATGACATTACTTGAGACAAGAAGTGAGTAACAACCTTGTTCTTATGATGAATATTGGGCAATCAGGAGTAAAAAAGAAAAATACCATGTTACAATGTAGTCTCAAATGATTTAGACGAGAAAAGTGTGTGTGTGTGTGTGTGTGTGTGTGTGTGTGTGTGTGTGTGTGTGTTATAGACTGCAATTCAGTGTTTCATTCTTGCCAGTTTTCTTAGGTTAGAAATTTGGAAAAATAAAAGTGAAGAATGAAGTTCCTGGAGAATTCAGCGCACAGACTGCACTGATCTGACTTGTATTCTGACATTACTACTCTGAGTTTATTTCAGAAATAGGGGAAGCAAAAACAGGAGGCCAGAGAGCTCAAGCTTCGAGGCTTCTGTAGTCTCTTTGCAAATCCCTGGGAGAAAACTCAACAATGTATTCTCCCACAGTTACACACTGTCAAATTGATTAAGATCACTGTCTCTGCCAGGAGGTGGTGGTGCACTCCTTTAATCCTAGCACTGGAGGCAGAGGCAGGTAGATTTCTGAGTTCGAGGACAGCCTGGTCTACAAAGTGAGTTCCAGGACAGCCAGGACTACACAGAGAAACCCTGTCTCAAAAACAAAACAAAACAAAAACCCCAAACAAACAAACAAAAAAAAAACCACAAAAAACTTGTCTCTCTCCAATCTTAAATTGGTATTGAATGAGGCCACCCCGAAGGAGACATCTGTGCTTTCTGGATGCTACTAAATGAATTAACTTTAGGTTCAAAAAGCTGTCACTCGTGACCTCTGGAACCTCCTGCAACAGGTAAGTGTGTGGTAGCTGTCCTGGTACTGGAGCAACTTTCAGAAACATCTGGCCACATGGTGCAGACTTAACATGAGAAATCACAACGTTGAACTGAAATATGAACATGAACTTAGTTGTCTGGGGCCAGAAAGATGTAGAGTGAAAAAAATTAGAAAAAGCGAAAAGTACTTATTACTCTCTTCTCTCTACTGGAAATATCACAATAATCCACATGAAAATAACATCAAAGACTTTAAAACCCCAAAGACAAAAGAATAAATACAAATAGACACAAAATAAATAAAGACATGGTAAGCTGTTAAACAGCAGCCTCCTTTAGACATGTGTGGCATTTGGCAGGTTTGTCATATTTGAAATTTATTGTTTTCTTTGTGCATTATAATATTTGTTTTTCTATTTGTATGTGCCTGAATTTGTGGGTGTAAAATTGGATAAATTTGAGGACTTCCAAATATCTGCAGCTTGCCCTTTTAGAAAATCAAAATGCCACCATGAAAGATTAAATGGTGGCTAAGATCAGTTACTGCTGCTGCAGAGGGTCCAAGTTCAGTTCTCAGCACACACACTGGGCAGCTCACATCCACCAGTAACTCTAATGTGAGGGTATCTAACACCCTCTTCCCGGCCTCTGAGAGGACTCCATGAACAGGGTAACCAAAAACTCAGGTAGGCATATACATACACACATAAGTTTTTTTAAGCACCAAAACTTTAAAAAAGATCAAATGACAAAGAATTGAAGCCCAAAAGGGTTGACAACAATTCAAGCAGTTTGAGATTTACTTAGTATAAAATCAAACAAGGTCTTTAGCTTTCTGAAAGCGGTTGGTGTGAGAGATGAGTTCAACCGGGTCTATTTTGGGTGAACAGAGAGGCAGAAGGAATCCTGCGGTTAAGGGTCATTTCCATGGGGATACAGGTCAGGGGACAGGCTACAAGCAAAGACGCAGAGTGAAGACGCCATGTACACATAAGTGTGTACAAAGAAAGCCAGGGACACAACGTGCAAGTTAATGACCTAGGCAGAGAACAAGAAGGAGGCTGAAGGGTTGAGTGTTGTTGATGCACAGAGGAGGATAGGGAGGGGAACCAGAGAAGAGGGCAGAGGTTAGAAGAGCCGGGCAACAGTAGCTGTGGTGGATGGGAAAGTGTTTGGGTAATTTCAAAGAGAGAACTGTTACTAAAGTGTAACAAATTTCATAGCACACAGGACTACCAGCGAAGGGGAGACTCCAGGAGGCCCGCCACAGTTCTGAAGCCAAAGGCAACTCAGGAACTAAGGAAAACTCCTCCAAGAATCATGAAAAAGATGTTGGGGAAGTCCTGAGAAGGTGAGGTCAAGGGTGTGTCAAGTTTGTTTTCTTGGTAAGTACTAGCATGAAACGCAAACGTGCCCTCTGGTCCAGCAACCCAATCCAAGGAATAATCCAAGTACCAAAAGCACATCGGAGACATAGTTTATGGCACATTCATACAGTGGCATGACACACAGCAGTTAAATGAGGAAGCAATATATACACACTCCTACTGTTTAACGCTGTTTGTACGCTGTTCAAGAACAGGTGCCACTAATGTCAGAAGCCGGAACACCAGCTCCCTCCACAGAGGGTGTGTTTACCTGGTGGAGCAGCACTGCAGACATACTAAACCCTTGTCCGTCACATGAATAGATGCCTAAGTAAGGCACATTATGCTGTATTGTCAGGTTAGCTAATCACACGTCCCCCAATGTGCCTGCTAGTTTTATGTCAACTTGAAGAGGGAATCTCAGTTGAGAAAATGCTCCAAAGTGGCCTGTGGGTAAGCCTGTAGCACATTTTCTTGGTTGATGGTTGATGTGATAGGGCCCAGCTCCTTGTGGGTGGGACCACTCCTGGGCTGTGGTCCTGGGTGCTATAAAACAGGCTGAGGATGCCACGGAGTGCAAGCCTGTAAGCAGCTCCCCTCCATGGCCTCTGCATCAGCTCCCACCTCCAAGTTCCTGCCCTCAGGGATGGCCTGTTACCTGGAAGTGTAACAGTCCCCAAGTTGCTGTTTTATCACAGCAATGGAAAGCTAACCAAGACAATTCGCTATACCTTAATTTAAAAAAAAAAGTGTTAAAAAGAAACAATGAATTAAAATTTAAAGACAGCCTTACTAAGGAAATAACATTGAGTAAACTTACAAAATACTACCAAATCAAAACGAGTCCTGAGTTGCCCCTGAGAGATCTAATGATCAAATGTACAACAGCATTGCGGAGACAGCCTGAACCACCGGGACCTGCCAAACATGTGGTAGGTAATAAACAGCCCTTTCCGAGGGCAGTGTTGTCGTGTTTGGGCTCACTCATTGTTATCCACCCAACAATCCTATTCACATGGGTAATCTATCCTTGCCCTTTGAATGGACCTTAAGACAGATAACATGGCTCAAAGCCAGCCTGTGCCAAAAGAACACAACTACTGATGTACAGCAGAAGAGCAACTTAAAGGAACACTGACACCCAAGTCCCAGCAGGAGCTCACGAGCCTCTGCTCTGGTATCTGGTTACTGTATACAACAAGGCGATGACAACTGGCACTTGAACCCACAGTCGTTTTGACTTTCAAAATAAAACGGCATTAACCATGAATCATTAATAAACTTAGCTTTGTAAACATGGTACCTGCATGCTCATTATAAAGAAGAAAACCATGGACTTACCATTTTGCCTGGTCCCAACAGCAGCAATGATTACTGGAACTGAGTTTGATGCTCTTTTAATCACTGGAATATAATTATCCTTTACTTCATGGAATGAAAACTTGTCATTTACATTGTATTTGATCACAATGATGTCAGCACCCCCAATTAGGTTTTGGGATGTGTACCAGTCACTGTCAAAAATGTCCTAAACAAAAATGCAAACATCAACTTTTAGTTTATCTTCAAATCAATCCCCAAACCAATCGCCAGATCAGTTACAGCATATTAGTCTAAATGTCTAGCGTCTGTTGGCTTTCTGAAGTTACAAAAGTGTGTTTTTGAATGGTTTGGTGGTTCGAATGAGAATGGTCCCCGCAGAAACTGAATGCTCACTCTCCAGGTGGTGAAACTGTTTCGGAAGGATGTGGAGGAGTGGCCTTGTTGGAGAAGGTGAGTAGCTGGGAGGTTTTGAGGTTTCAAAAGCCCGGGCCATTCCCAATTACTCTTCTCTCCTCATACTTCTCGATCAGATGTAAACTCTTAGCTACACAGACTCACCCCCCGGTACTGTGAGCCCAATAATGGTTTTCTTCTATAAATTGCCTTGGTCATAGCAATAGGAAAATAACTAAGACAAATGGGTAACTACATAAAATTTAATATGTCTGATGCCTGATGGTTTATTTAAAACACCTTTTCTCCATTTACCCTAAGCAATGACGCACTAGTAAGGCATGTTACCTAGAGCATTCTTGAGTTTGATGAAACCAGCAATGCCATTCCAGTGTCTAAGCCTAAGTCAGCATCTGTCTTGAAATTATACTGATTTTAGTCACTTAAAATTTCAAGGGTATGACAGTATTCATTCAACCCCAGAAGCTTCTCTGTGACCCAGTTAGACACTGCAGGACTTTTGTGCTCTGAACTACAATACACTGAGAATCTTGTGGTATTCCTCTTATATTATACACATTGAAAAAATTCACATATAGTCTTTAACCTTATACTGTATCTGCATAGCACATATGAGCATGCAGAACATATGCCCTGATAAGACACACTGTACATTACAAGGGGCTAAGTGCAAAGGACTGTGTTTGCAGTTCATGTATTTAGCTCATACATTAAACATCCAGGATGAAACTTCAGAAATGTTTACTAAAAGGCTATATAGAATCATATCTAATTCATTATGGAACTTAGTTCTCTGATGTCTGTAAAACTTTTGTGAAAATAGTATATAAAGAAAATGCCATCTTAATTTCACTGCCAAATAATTTTCCTCTTACATTCTAGTTAATGATTAATCATTTCTTTCATTTGCCCTTTTTCTAAGAGTCCACCTAGAGTAAGGGAACACTATGGCTAGTTATAGCTAACAATCCCAAAACTGTTGGGCTACGAAAGTTCACTCTTTGGTATTGGAACTCAAAACAAGGTTAAAAAGTGCTCAAACTAGCCAATCAAACAAGATCTGTGTGACAGAGCTTTTAGCCCACAACAGAAAGGCCCTTTTGTAGTGAGAAGCTCTTGTCCCATCTCCATACCCTCACCTGCCCATCTCTCAGCAAGCTTATTCAGGATGAGAGCTGCCCTGCAGAATGTTTACACAGGAATGCATTATCAAAAGCAGAGTGGACACAGCAAAAGACTGAACAGGCTCACGATATAGTAGTAGGGTCAGAGGTGAAGTGTGCAGGAGAAGTGAGAAAATGGATATAGGCCAAGAGGAGAACATCGGATTCCCAAGGCCCAGATCACAAAGTCCCACTGGTCCCAACTGCATCTACAAACATTCAGACTGAGAATAGCAAATACAGCACAGCGTGGAAGGTGACGGAGGTCAGCAACAGTCCAAGAGTCAGGCTCTCAGGATCCAAAATCACTACAGACTGGACCAGTCTGAGAAATCATTCTTTCACATTCCAAACAGCTCAGAACCCCAGATTTACTGGGGAGAGAAAACATGGGGAAAGGGGGATTTGGGAATTATTAATTTACTCTGTGGTATTGAGCATAAAGCAACTATAAGCACTTTTATTTGTAATGCAACCCAGACCTTCAAAGAAAGTATCAATTTATCATCTCATGGCTTATTGATTTTTTATTCATTCATTCATTTCCAAGTTTTTCTGAGACAGGCTCTCATGTAGCCTAGGCTGGCCCAAACTCACAGTCCTCCTTCCTCTGCCTCCCAAGTGCTGGGATTACAGGCATGAGCCAGGATGCCCACCTAACTGCTTTGGAACATGTTTCCTACAGACAGAAAAATACAAATCTAGAAGTACACATTAAATAATGGTATGACTGCAGAAGAGCAGTAGGCAGAACTAAGCTATGAACTTCATCTAATGAATCTGAAGCAGACTTTTAAAGACATCAAGTACATGGAGGCAGCAAGGTGCCCAAGTAGGACTAGCGATCTCCAGAAAGTAACTCCAGAGAGGACGCAATCCCAGCTCAGGCAGTCGGCGACTCCTTTCTTTTTAAGCTGTCACTGGTTTCTAGAAATATGGAGGAAATTCATTTGTCCCACCCTTTGCAAGTCAGTTCCAGGATTTCACTGGGATGTTATGCAACAGCAAACTTGGAGCCACACTGGAGAATCAAATTCATCTTTAAAAAAATCTGAGTTGGGCTGGAGGGATAGCGCAGCCGTTAAAGGCTAGGCTCACAACCAAAAAAATCTGAGTTCCTACAAAGAAACAAGGGCTTCATCCTACTTGATTGGTGTGTACACTGAAGGTCCCGCATTGGCATAAACTTTGACTGGCATGAGGAACTCTCCCATGTCTAATGTAAGTGATAAGTGACTACACAGAAGCTATTAGTACGCACGTTACTACAGCAGTCATCTCTCTTGGCCCTACAGCCTCCACACTGGGACTTTACCCTTCAGCACGTTCCAGGACAGACAGGAAAACAAGCCTAAGAGAAGGCGAAAAGACACTGTGTACAGAGTGTCAATGGGGGACCTGCAATCGGTTCTCTCTGAGTCCAAAGTGCTGTGTTTGACATTGTGACTCAGCACCTATGCCAATGCCACTGAGCGGCAGAACCAACCTTCCTGCTTCTGGCAGGATTTACTTGTGTTCAAGAGGAAACAGCAGCTCAGACTGAGTAACTAGACGCACACAACTCACTGTGTCTGAAGACTCATCCTAATCTGGGAAACTGTACCTGGTGACAATCTTGGTGTCACAGATTTTGTTTGATCTATTTTATTGTTATAAAATGTGTGGCTCTTTGCTAAAGGAACACAGGCAGGAAAGGGTGAACAGCTCAACCTAAAAACTTAGGAGAAACAGCCCCAACACCCCAAGTCATCCTATTTTATATTCTCTGCACCTATTTCCTCAATCCACCAAACATTTGTTCAACATTATGTTGAACAAGTAACACTTGAAGGCCATTAAATCTCTCATAATAAAAGGGCCCAAAGTGAACTTTCTTGCACAGACATCGGCCCTTAAGTCCTCCCTAGTGGAGTCTTTGGATACCATCACCGCTGTCATACCTGAAGGCTAAGCCCATCCTTTTAATTGACAAGTTTACTTAAACTTTTGCATGTAAAAATCTCACATAATTTGTGCCTTGGTTGAGACACCCATGTTTCATTCATATATATTTATCTTTAGCTGAAGTACATATAACTACACTATTAGCAAGCAATCACGGGCTTAAAAATAAACAAAACCACTTGAAATATAGTGTTACTGCGTGATGAAGATATCTAAGCCTCCCTTGATCTTTTATCAAACACTGGAGAGTCAGAATAGATTTTTTTTCATTCAAATCTCATAAACAAAGATTTTTTTAAAGTGCTAAGTAACGCTAGTGGTATTTCTGATTTATTAATCGCTAAAAAACAAAGGCTAACAGATGAGTATTTGCATCATTAAGAACTTATTTTTTTCCAGAAGTCAGTAGTCTACAAACGAGCCGTTTAAAATTAGTTCTCAAACCCCGTCCTTTCTCCCTTTTTCCATACTATTTCTGACCTGTTCCAGAGAAGAGAGTATTTTTTTTTTCCCTATGCTGAGTGGTAAAGGGCAGTATTTATAGAACACATCTCCCTACTCTCCACAGGGTGGACACGAAAACATGACTCTCGGGCCAGTGGAACTTCGCGGGCCCCGTCCCTTGGGGTTGGCCCAGTCAACTCTCAGCCAGTGGACAAGTCACAGTCGTGGAGCACGGTGACTGCTCTACATTCCCTGGGGCTTTCTATTTCACAGACGTGTTTTGTGACTGCGCTGCCCCACCACCTCCAAATTGAAACAAAGGACGCGATTTGCAACCGCCCCCCCCCCAAAACCCAGCCCAACCAAGCCCCTGGCCAGGCTGTCAGGAAAAATAGGAAACAAGGGGAGGAGAGGTCCAAACCACAACCGGCTCCTTCGGCCTGGGCGTCGCGCAGCCGCTGCCCCTTACCCAGACGGGACAGTCGTGCACCACCAGCTTGACGTTCCCGAATGCGCTGGCCTGGTACTCGGTGAACACCGGGCGCGCCACCGTGCCGGCCGCGTTCAGCAACAAGCTGCTCTCGTCCCCCGACACCAGCGGGCTTCTCCCCAGGTAGGTGCGGATGAGCCCCGACGGCCGGCTGTCCTGGTGGAACGCGTCGCCCTCGTTCCCCAGCGCCACGATGTGGATGGACCTGCGGGGCCGAGAGGGGCGCGGTGAGCGGGTGGGCGCAGCCGGGGCGCGCGGCGCGTCCGGGACCAGGGCCGCGGCAGGACGGCGACGCTTACGTACATGATCGCGGCTGGCAGGGCGGCGGGGAGACGGCAGCGGGCGGCCTCGCGGGGGCCGGGGCGACCTCTCCTCGCAATCAGCTCATGCCCGGCCGCGGCCCTCGTGCGCCTGCACCGCGGCGCCGCCGACGCTGAGCGGAGCGGCCCGGGCGAGCGGCCGGCGGGGGCGCGGGCAGCGCTGCGGATCCCCGGTCGCCGCCCCTGGCCTCCCCGGCTCCGCCTCCGCCGCGCGGTGACCCGGCCCCGCACGTGTCCCCCCCGGGAGTCCGCGGCGCAGGGGAGCGGGCCGCCCGCCACGAGCCCGGGCGGCGGCCGCGGGACACAAAGGAGCGGTGGGCGCGGGGACGACGCCGCAGCCCGGGCGCTGCCCGCCGCCAATCCGCCTGCGGCAAGTTTGCTCAACTCGGAAGGCTGAAACCCGAGCCGCGAGCGGGGGAGGGGCGGCCGGGCCCCAGCCGGGACCGCGGGAGAGCCGGGCTGGGGGGCAGCCCCCTGGTGATCCCGGGGTCCTGTGCCCGCGTAGGCCCTCCCCCGGAGTGTGTTATCGCTTTGCCAGTGGTCAGCATGCGCTACAGCTGTTTCGTAAAATCCTACTTGGGAAGAAAAAAAAAAAACATAAAGCCAACATTCATGAAGCTGCAGAAAAGGTTCTTTGTTCACGCACCAATTAATTTGCGAATGTCGCTTTGGAAAGGTCATTTACTATTGCAAGCTATATTTGGCATACTTTAGCCAAAACTGCGGAATTTAAAGTGTCGGGATTTTTTAATGTGCTTTTTTAAAAAAGAAAGTTCTAGCAGTTTACGTAGATTCTTCTTTTCAATACACATTCCAGTTACATTATTTAATAATAGCTCACAGAAAAATAAGGACCATGTTAATTGAAGGATACTTTCGATTCTTTCATGATGACACGCAGAAATAAAGCTTGCGGACGCCCCTTTTAAAGGGCCTCCGACTGCTGATGTTAGGACTGGCCAGGGCTTACTCTGGGGCTCCTCCATAAACATTAGAATTCTCCCAAGCACCCACACCTTGTTAAAAGGGCTCTTCTTTATCTTTTTAGCTATTGGCTCTGCTTTGAAATTGGGCCTTTTGTCTTTTTTCAATGGACCGGTTTTGGGAGACAGGCGGTGTCTGAAGGGGCTCTGGAAAGACTGAGGTAGTGTCAGCAGCTTTTTATTAGGAATCAGTATTGCTCGGCTGAAACAATGTATTAGTTTCTTATCCATAGGTAGGGCAGGACAGGAGACATTCTCTATGTAGTTTGTTTATTATTCCTTCTTATTGCTCAAGATGCCTCTACCTGTGTTGCCTAGGCTAACTTTTAGTCTTACCTCCTCAGAGTCCCAAATAATTGTAATTACTCATATATCTCTGCTCAAATGGTCAGTGGTAAAAAAAAAAAAAAACAAAACAACAACAAAAAAAAAGCAAAGCAAAAATCTATCTGGTCTACATAGTAAGCTGCAAAACAGCCATAGTTACATAGTGAAACCCTGTCTCAGATAAATGAGTTCCCTCTGTACCCAAGTACAATTTCTTTTAGTCTCTGGAAATAACCATCCTGGAAGATTCAAATGTGCTGTGTCACATTTCCTCTTGGACCAACAGAAAACATGCTTTTGTTCTCAGCATTCCCCTCCAAGGACCCAGCAGTCAAACACAAAGACACTAGAGTAGATACATAGGAAAAGGAAATATGACACATAAATATGATGAACTTTTTTAGATGGTTTTTCACTATATTGTCCCAAATTTCCAGAGTAGCTGACACCATAGATGTTTAATGAAGCTAAGCTTGTCATATCTTATCCCATGGGAGAGCCATAAGGACGTCATGCTACTCAAAAACAAGCCAACATGAAAAGATGAGTATCATATCATCCTACTTATGAGCTACCTAAAGTAGCCATGGTCTTAGGGATAGTGGCAGGACAGAGCATCTTGGAGCTGGGGCAGGGGAGGAGTATTACTCATGACTATACACTTTCAGTTTTAGAAGATGAAAAAGTTATAGAAATCAGTTGTACAATAAAGTACACATAGCTAATGTGACTTGTACTAATCACCAAAGCATGATTAAGATAGTAAGTTTTCTGTTGTTACTTAAACCACAATACAAAGTGCATAGGAACACACGGAAAACATCAGTTGTAACTGGGAAGCAGACAAAGGGAGAAAGCATTCTTTTTCTCTTCCAGTTTTGAGTGTTTTAACCAGGCCAGGTTAGACACCGGCAATAGTAAGATACCTCAGGACTTCCTCTGTGTTCTTGAGAAGCTAAGCCTGTCAAAGCCTCCTAGACTCTCAATATATATATTCTCCACAAGCTATACTCCATCTTTTTTCTGAAATATGTTGGCTCCTTGATAAACCTGACATACATGCTCAATAGTTAATAGTGGTGCACGCAGAGTACAGGATGAAAAACTCAGCAATGTCCAGCTTTGTGCTATAGATCATTCGGGAGGGGTAAGCGACATCTTAGAAGATGAGGAAAGCCTGGGTAGATCTGAGGGGAGAGGTTGGGAAGGGAGGGGTTTAGGAAGAACTGGGTGGCTCAGGCAAATCACAGGTGGAGGTATGAAAACATGCATGGTGACTGCTCCAACGGCAGCAGATGAGGTGATGCATGCAGGTTCCCATATCGAGGCCAGCAGAGTGGTGAGCCGGTGTACTCTGGTGTAGGCTGGGCATCCTAGGAAGTGGCCTGCCTGGAGTGAAGACATTCTAAAGAGATCCCTTTGGCTAAGAATTTCTCCCAGGAATCTTAATGGGAGAAGGAAAGGGTAAAGTGCCAGCCAGACGAGGAACTTGTCACCAGGAAGAGATTTCATGAGTTCAGACAATTTGAGTCAAGCTTTCAGGAGAAACAGGAACCGAGACCATGCTGTTGGGGGAGGAGACCACACTATGACCAACCCTTGTCCTCTGTTTAACCCTGAACCTCATGTCCGGGCCTGGAGATGGACTTGGGAGCCAGCGAACCTCTTCATTTATCCGTTTTCCTAGGGAGGTCGCAGTGAATGACCCTTCCTCTGCTTTTCAGCATTACTTGTCTGTCTACTTGGCCTACTCAGGACTAGTTAGAGCTGCCAAGGTCCAGACTTTGTCCCTAACAGTTTCGGTAACACCCTTCTCTCCATGGGACCACTAGATGCTCACAGAACCTATTTTCACTTCTAAGATAAATAGTTGAATTTTCTAAACTTTCTGGGTATATGTTTGGCCATGTGATTCAACCTCACCAATGGCATATAATCCTGATGAGCAATTAATCCCACCTTTAATCCCAGCACGTGGAAGCAGAGGCAGGTGGATCTCTGAGAGTTCAAGGCCAGCCTGGTCTATAGAGTTAGTTGTAGGACAGCCAAGGCTAAGCAAAGATACCATGTCTCTAAAAAGAACAAATAAAAAAGAAAGTAAAACAAAAAGAAAAGGTATGCCCCTATAAAGGTTGGGGTACCTCCTCCAGACACCATAGGCTGTCAAACAAAAACCCCAGTGTCAGGTATGCGTTACTCCTTTCTGAGTTGTTGGTCAATGGCTTCCCATAGACCTACTCAAATATCATAGGCTATGGCCGTTACTCTTTCTTACTCTCCAGAACTTGATGATAAGACCCTATTTCTAAAGACACCACACACCCAAGTCATGGATATGGAGGAACTAAGCTAGTACTGCCCAGAAGTTTCATTCCTACAGGGTGGCTTTCATAATGCTAGAAGGTTCTAGGCACACTACTTGGAGAGCAAAGTCACCAACAGTGTTACACACCCGTGGACCCAGTAACCAGCCACAGGGTTTGAAGACCCTCTGTACAAGATGGATCTGATGTCTGGTACCATTAACAAGGCCAAAGCCGGTGGCTGGCTAGGCCGTAAGCCCCAGAGGAGAACATATTACTGTCATTCTGCTAAATGGGCATAGTGACAAACTTCTCCTTGATCCTTCTCTTTATACCCATAGATCAGTATGTCCCTCCCTCATGGGAGGGGCTTCTTTTTACAGTAGATGACAACAGAGAGACTCACAACAGGTCAGCGTGCAAAGATTGAGAAACCATGGAGTGCTCAGCTCTAAATGGGACATCTGCATGCACCCTTCACCTTTCCAGTCTTCACAGGAGTGGAGCTGGAAAGACGGTAGGAGAGAAGACGCAGACTTCAGTAGCGAGATGTCCGATGTGACAGCACAGTAGCTAGGACTGTGTGCACGAGACTCGCACAAGATCAAGTTGTCAAAAATCGAAGCACTGACGGGGGGAGGGTGTCGCACCTGCTGTGCGGCCTGCATCCGAGAATGTAGCGAGGTGGTCGGGATAGATGACACAGAGACCGGTCGGTTGCTTTAAGAAAACTTTATGCTTCTCCAGTCAGCCTAGGAGGAGACCCCAAGTCCGCTTAGGAGAGAGAAGTCTCCCCAAGAAAAAAGAGCTTCCCTCTTTAAGGACTTCTGCCATCCATCTACATACAATTCTTTCCAGACTTCTCACCCTCCTGGCTGGTGGTTTAATCTCTGGCCCCAGAATCAGGGAGACACCGCAGGGGGGGTGAGAAGTCTTTAAAAGAATTGTATGTAGATGGATGGCAGAAGTCCTTAAAGAGGGAAGCTCTTTTTTCTTGGGGAGACTTCTCTCTCCTAAGCGGACTTGGGGTCTCCTCCTAGGCTGACTGGAGAAGCATAAAGTTTTCTTAAAGCAACCGACCGGTCTCTGTGTCATCTATCCCGACCACCTCGCTACATTCTCAGATGCAGGCTACACAACAGGCGCGACAGGAGGGGCTCCTGAAACCCCACCCCTATCTGCTTAGTTGTTGGCAATTGACGGCTGCCAGAGAGCCACTGGGAGAGTTCCTTTTCTTCAGGGATGTGGGTCCTAAGAGGCTACCCAGATTCCAGTAGGTGGTCCACACCTGTGCACCTACAGCCAACAGTAAGTAGACTCAGTAAGCATGTGTGTGGGGGGGAGGATGTTGGGATGTTGGGAAGGGAGGGGGTTCTCAGGAGGGAGGGGAAGGGGTAGAGTTGATCTAAACGCATATGCATGTATGAATATTAAGTAAAATATTTTAAATACAAAGGCTTACTTTAAAACTACACACACACACACACACACACACACACACACGAAAAGGCATGCTTTCTCTACTCTCTTTTGTCCTTCCTTCCATCTGCCAACTGCTGCCGCCTGTTCAACCTTGAGTTTGGAGACCTTGGCACCGCAGCGTGGAGCTTGCGGCAGAGGCTCTTCACAGCGTGCATTGTACTGTGGTATGAGTGACAAATAGATCTTTCTCGGGTTCAGCCAGACATCTTGAGGTCAATTGCTATAGCAGCTACGGTTACTTGTCTTGGCTAATAGAATGCCACAGATGGTCCATTCCCAGACATCTTAAAGATGCTTTCTGTATATTAAGATCACTTTTTGGTTGTTGTTTCTCTTTTACTTAAAAATTTTACTTACTGTATGTGTTTGTAGTTTTTTTATTGGTACGTGACATTTACAAGAAGGAATTGAAACAAGTTGTAACGCATCAGATTCTTCTTCCTCCCCAACTTTAAGACCATTGGGGAACACTCAGGAAGGGCTTTCCATCTGAATCAATATTTTTTCCTTTCATAATGGCTGAGATGTTCTCATTCTGCAATCGCTCTGTTGGATGTCTTCATTTG